TGCAACGTACGCTAAAAAGATAATGTGAAAATTGATGTGTTTTTCTCTTCACATTCGCGACGTATAAATTGATTAAGCAAATCTGAAAATGATGTATCGGGAGAGATGTTGAGAAATGAGGATTTTAAAATAAAAACTGTATCATGCATCGTTAAACACATAATATAGAAGTATTTTAACTTATTATTAAACTAATGAAAAACAATAACCGTAAAATAATCAATAATTTCACACGATTTAGTTTCACATATTGACAATAAATGTTATTAAAAAGTCAAAATTCATAAACTCATTACAGCAATTCTTCCAATTTCTATTATAATAAATTACTTTATTAGCCAATTTATCTTCTTCTTTGTTTGTTAATAAAAATATATAGGTAATATTGCCGAACAAAAAATCTAATATCTAAAATTATACCTAATCTTTTTCTTTACATATCTGTAAATTGTAATATGCATATTTTCATGGAATAGATTTTTTTACAACAACAAAGCATGTAAGAATATTTTAAGAAAATTTAGCTTCTATATTTCAAGGACGATATTGTTAGATTTGCGACACTCATTTCGAGATACGTCAATGGCTCATACATCTCGATTCGTTTTCGTTTTCATAAATCCGTCGTGGATTTGTTCCATATGAGATGAAGGTGCCGCGTATACATTATCACTGTGCACACAAAAACGGTATGCGGCGCGTCTATACGACGACGGATAACTTATAGGTCCCATAGCGAACCGTAGATCCCATGGACACAGACGTACTGCGATCATTATCGGCGAATTTATGGCAGCAGTCACATCCGCGAAGCCACATCGCGTTTTCGAATGGCGGTGTGTTAAAAGATCTCGTCTATGACATTCATAAGATCTGTCTCATTTTAATGTTTGTAGAAGCTGATAACGAATAGATTGCAGAATTGTAATAAAGCATTTTTTAATTTCTTTAATTTCTTATTCTCTTTCCACTAATTATACTTAACTTTATTATGCGTATAACATATGTATCACAAATATTATTTAAAGTAACCACGCACACGCATGCACATGCGCAAGCATATACATTTACATGTAAATGGAGAAAGAAAGGGGAGGAGAAAGAAATTTGTAATATATAAGCAAAACTTCAAGCATAAATTATAACAAAAATATTATAAAAAAATTCGTATAAAGGTTTGCATTATTAAACTTGTACCAAGTTACAAATATGTTTATATTTTTTTAATTTAAAAATAAATTTAACAAATAGTTTGTAACAATGGAGAGTACAAAGATTTCATGTTATAAAATACGATTTATTTTACTTGCAATAATAAATATTGCCTATAAAATATTATCGCGTCTTCCAAATAAATTACAATGTGGATTACTGTGTGAATAATTGTAGATAATGTGAGTAAGCTTTTAAATGTATTTCTTCAGTTACAAGTCAAGCCATCGTCCATAGAATTAATATCCTACTTATGTACAGAAGATATAGGTATGTAGAAGAAAAGTTTCTTTTCTGTTCTCTATCTTATTGTCAGTATCTACCTACTATCAGAGATAGAAGGTCACGGTAAGCAAAGGTCTCGGAAGCGTAGTACAGAGAGAACTAGCCAAGGGAATAAAAGAGCAAATACTTGATTCGCGACGGGAATTCACAATAGCACTCGGTACTTTCATGGTCGCAACATTACGTTGCACGGCATATTACAGTCTAGGGAAAAATTGCGTTTGTCCCGCGCAGTTAAAACATATTCACCGTATGGTCCAGTACAACCGAAAATACCGTATTATCGTAGTTCTGGCGTTGACGCAGTTAAAATATGGTCACCGAATGTATGAAATTGCGTTTACACGACAAAAGATATTCATCTTAAGACATGTATGAAATATTATAAAAATATTAAAAACGCGAAGTTTCAAAGTTTCACATTTTTAAGTTTCTAACTTTATATTTGTACACACATAGGTATGTGTTCTGTTAAATATAAAGATACATTTTCTAATAAAAGCAGAAAATATCGTATTCTTTACGTTAAAATTAAAACATTTTTTTTAATAAATCGATTTTTCAAAAGCAGAAATAAAATAAAAATTGAAAACTTTAGTGATAATTTCGACAATATAATTTTTTACTTTTATTTAAATATATTAAATAATTAATATAAATTTATTTATTAATAGCATAAGTGCATTAATCTAAAAGTTTAAATTACAGCTTAAATATATATTTATGTTATAGATAACAGAAATTTCCAAATCCATTTAATACCAAATTCATTCATCACATTTAACCTTATGAATGCATTTTCCACCAACGAGATATGCCCATCGGCCTCATTAAATAATTTATGTCGTGTTTAATTGCGCAATTTATTTGACTGGGCACAGAGTTACGTGACACACAGCTTATTCCATATATATAATTTATTTAACAAAGTAGTTTACATATTTAAATAGAAATATACGTTTAAATTAAACGATATAATTTTAAATGCATTTGTCACACCATTCTATTTGTTTTTTTTTTTCATTATTTTTGATTACTGTCAATTTTCACTGTAAAAACTTTCATATGTAAAAGAAAAGAATATTTTAATTTTTACCTTCTCATAAAAGTCTATTATACATTAAAGGTAGTCTCATAAAAAAAAAATGTTAAAAGTGAACCGAGCCGATAAAAAGAATTTTTCCCTATTCATCCCAATTCCTATCTTCCTTACCATTTGGTAGAATACTGGCTTTAAATCCCTTTTGGAATCAATAAATTCTTGCTTCTTCCGCTTAATACGCAAATTGAATCTCTATTTAACGTAATCAAAAGATAATATTTTCAATACATTGCCAAATAGAATCATAAAAGTTTTTTGTATAAATTCAACATTGAGAGGTTCATATCTTAATATTGATATAATTAATAACGTTACGTAAGCTTGATAAAGCTTCGTAAGATAAAGTAATATTGGATCTAGCAATAGATGATAGTATAATCTTCTTAATAAAATATCTTTTCATATTTATATTGTATAAAAAACTCACATTTTCTCAATAATTTAATTTGTTCTATTTCACTTGCTATAAATATATTTATTCAATATGTCAAGGCAATTAAATAATACTAATTTAGGCTCATGTTCAATAACAAAATTTTTGCCAGCCAAAATTCGACATATAAAGATATATTAATCAAACTCTACAAACTCTGAAACGCTCCATTATCTGAAAGATATCCGGTAATTAGATGACTCTCATCAAATAGCGTATTTCGCATTTCCTCATATAATTATCGATTAATCGAAGAAATAAAAAATATAAATGTGATAAAAAAATTTCACGAAACGATAAACAACTTGTAGAATGTAAAAATTCGAATATAATTTGAAACTCAATATTTTATTTATTTTACGATTGGCTGGCATATGTTATATGTACACGTGTAATTTGTTACTAGACTACATTCCTCAAATATCCATTAGTTACATAAGTTCTCGACCTCGAGAACTTACAATAAAAGAGAACAGCGAACTGCAAATTGCTAAAATTAATTGATATCGATTAATGAAGTACAATAGCTCTTTGTCCATGAAGTATATAGCAATGGAACACTTTACTGAGCAAATTTACGAGATGCGCAATACAGGGACAATTAACGGAAAGAGAAAGAAGGAAACCGAGAATCGTCGAGTCGAATGAGGAATAGTGTTCTGGAAGAGCGAAAATTGCACGTAGCTGGAAGGTCTTCGCTCGAGGGCGAAAAGACTGTGCGATTGGACCAACGACCCGGACATCCGTCGCTTTCGAACTTGGTCCACCGTTAAATATGGCAACGGACGGTCCGGACGACTAATGTGATTGCTGGCAGACTGTTACCGGACGCTAAAAGCACCGTGTCGTAAACTCTACGCTTCACTTGCGAGACAGAGAAAGAGAGAGAGAGAGAGAGAGAGAGAGAAAGAGAGAGAGAGAGAGTCGTGTAATCGAGCATAGATCGAGCGCGTGCCTATCGGTTGCTTGGTTACCGTACTTCCTCCACCATGTAACCGCAAATTTGTTCGGTATAAATTTCGAATCGAACGAAGAGTACTCAGTGCAAATGCACACTCTCCAAACGCGCTGCTGGAAAACGAGTCGCTGTAGAAATTTTTAATCGCGTTTTTGCAAGTCTGAGAGCCCTTGGGAAAAAAGTCTAGATAGTTACCGTGTGCCAACTTTAGAATTACACACTAGGGTACGACGAACCTCGATTTTCACATTTCTCATTATGTCAATTAATTCTGTATAGTATAACTTACAAAATAAAACTTTAAGTTAATTTTCTAGTAAGTTTTCTGTTTGCACTAATATGTTTAAAGTTGACTTGATTGTGAAAACGTTAAAGCTTAAATCATTTTGACGGATTTACCAAATAAAAAATGCGAACAGGAAAAAAACTTTAATTTTTAAATCAATTCAATTCTTTTTATTATTAAAAAACGCTTTATTTATACATGGTCTGTTTGAAGAGTAATGAGACTAATTCCGGAAAAACCATTTTATTGAAAATACACTTAATATTTTTCAAAGGATCCTTGAGCGTCAATACAGCGAGTCTAGCGTTGCTACCACTCTTGATCGTAGCAGCGCAGGAAATCTTGACCGGACATGCCTTCCAGAGCACTCGTCGCGGCTGTTTGGATGTTTTTAATCGTCCCAACGTTGTTCGACAGTTTGGGGCGATTAAAAAGATCCAGCCGCGACGAGTGCTCTGGAAGGTATGTTCGGTCAAGACTTCCCGCGCTGTTACGAAGAGTGGCAGCAACGCTGAAACCACTGTATTGACGCTCAAGGATCCTACTTTAAAAAATATTATAATTATTATAATTATTATAATTATTATAATTAAGTGTATTTTCAATAAAACGATTTTTCCAGAATTAGTATTCTTATTACTTTTGGAACAGACCATGTATGTTAATTATTAAGATATTTATAATGAAAATTCATAAGCTACATTCAATTCAATTTAACTTGAAGTATATAAAATCATCTTCAAATTTATTATTTTATATAAAAACTCACTTTCAAAGTTTGATACAGAATTTACAAAGCATGCAATTTTTCTTATAAGTAACTATAACCAAATATCTAAGTTTCTTACAAAACTTATACAAATAATAACATAAAAATACTGAAATCTCCAACAGCTATTAGTGTTCTCATTGAAATTGTGTCCGATCAAGATTAAAAACTGACATTGAAGTGTATCCATAGTGAGATAAATAGACAACGCGTATTGATTTATAAGTATGTGATATGACAAAATCGGGAGATAGTAAAATGAGCCATCTCCCATCTATCTCACAATATATCTACGTTTCTCAATGGAGATTATGCCCGGTGGATATTAACCGGAGGTTCTATATCACAGGATGTTTCGGAATTTCGGAAGGTTCCTCGAATCAACCATCGCTCTTTGAACGTGTAATTCGTGGTTGAGTTCTGGTTGGATACACGCCACGGAATTTCCCAAGCAAATTCTCGTACAGCTTGAAGAAATCATAATGCATTGAACTGTATCTCAGTAACAGTGGGTTGCAAACATATGTTCATATATGACATTTTTTTCATGTTTGGTGTAGGAAGCTCGCCCCCGAAATTTGTTACCTTATTTCAGATGCACCCTGTGTACGTATATACCTAATGTTTGTAAAAAATTAACCTTTCTTTTTTGATAGAAGAAATATAGCAAAAACTTGTCTACGTTCGTTCAGTTCGTCTACCGAATTATATTTGACAGTATATATATATAATAATACTAAATCTATACTATAAATCTATAAAGATTTATAAATCTAAAATCAACAATCCCTATAGTGCATCCGAACGTTTCTTCTCGATGTCAATGGATAATTTATGGAAGTTACGAGTTAATTTGATTATCACAACATAGCTCCCAAAGAGAACTCTGTCGATCGATCTTTGTATCGCCTGGAGAATTCATCGTACTCTTTAACGTTAACGTCGTGTCTTATCGGTCGTAAATTTATCACAAATTAATCTTTATCATTGCGTAATAAAAGAGATATAAAAATATATAAATAAAACATAAAAGTTGCTCGCCAAAATTCGAATTAATAATTGCCCAATTTAGTAGCACGTTAAAAAAGTATTTTAATCTCTCTCTCTCTCTCTCTCTCTCTCTCTCTGTCCGCCCCTCCTCTACCCTCTAACTTATAAAAATTTGATCGTGCAAATGTACATGTAACTATCCTTTTAGCGACGTATCGACATTAATATCAAAAATTGATGCAATTTGAAAATATATTTTTGAACGTTACCTGATTTATCTAATCGTTGGCAGTTAACTCTTTGTGCATGATTCGCTCCCTTTAATTTTGTAAATTGCTCGCTCGATTTTCATGAAACTTGGCCTATAAAGTAATTTGATAATGTTTTATTCGAATCTAAAGTCAAAAATACAAAATGATCAATCCAATAAAGCGACAACAAATTTTTAAAATAATCTAATAATCTGAAACTCAGTTTTAAGGAATTTTTAACATTTCTAATTGTAAGTAACACCAAGTTTTCAGTTCCGCTTTATTTCAAGCTTATCAGTGTTACGCAAACAGTTAGTAATCGACTTTCAAACTCAGATTATGATCCTTGTGACTCAAGTCTTTCCTCATTAGAGGTTACCATCTTTTTGAATTTCGACATTTTCAGGTCACATTTAAATTCAACAATACCGAGAACTGCCTAAAACCGATTTTCACGATAATCAAATTATTTCTTAAAAATTTGGTCCGCCATATTGGACCCTCTATTTTGATTTCTGAAGCCAATATCAAAATCGGCGATTCCAAAAATTTTTAAACAATAAGGTCTTCCAACTTAAGTTACTTTGTTGAAAACTCCCGTCTTCAAAAAGTTAAAGATTATTTTCGCCATAATCCAAATCATGAAAATAAGATCCTTGAAAGGTCATAAGACTGTCAACATCGATTCATGATTTATAGGTATTGTCATTATCCGAAGCCGCGATTGTCCCAAAGAAAGTCGCCCGAAAGCGATGCCCCTATTATAGTTGAATGACTTCTGGAGCGCGCGTGCCGAAGAAAAAGATCGTAAAAGACTTTTATGTACCTTTCAAAACGATGGGGCGTAACCTACGACGAAGTTCTTTCATAGTTTCAATTTTTATTACATTGAGAAACTCTCGCAATCTTTACAATTCTACGCATGTTTGGAAATATAGATTTTACAATATGCCTGTATGTAAGATTAAATTTATCTGCATATGAGTGTTATACAATAGTTTACAAATAAAAGAGAGAATTATAGAACTTACGTACAGCATATAATTCATTATAATTTATAACGAAAATAAGAAAAATTGCAAAAAATACTTACACGAATAAAAGTTAGAAAATGTTTTATCATCTACTTAAATCGTTTGTTATATGATTTCATGTAGTTTTTCGGATCAAAATCAGTTTTCAGTCTGTTTAAATTGAACTGAAATAATTATTTGAGCTATCTCAAGAATGATTAAGTGAGTAATATAATGATGATGTCGTTTGATAGTCAGATAAATGATTTATAGTCAAATATCAATGAAATTTTAAATCTAGTGTAATTGAACATAATTCTAGAAATAAATGCATTCTGTCTTAAATGATGGGATAGCAAATCTCGAACAGGGCTGGAAGCGAGCCTGTCGACCTTTGTTTCATGGGCCGCTAATGATTTCGCCCATTAGGTAACGTTACTTAGCGAAACGGCGCGCAATCGAGCTTAATTAATTGTATTTGCCGCCTTCGATTATCCTGATTATATGCAACGGTTATTCCTTACATTCCTGCTTCACGTCATCAGTCGATAATTGAAAATATCGAGGAATCGATTAATAAAAGCTGATATTAACCAATTGTTATTATCAAAAAAGATGTACAAGAAGTAAATAAAATTTATAGTGATGGGACATTAAAAAATTATGTAATCAATATAATTATTATTTCTACATACATACCGATCATCAAAAAAAATCAAACTACAATACATCTTTATTTATTATTGAGATATCAAAATTTAACATAAAGTGTACAAAATGATGGTGCGTGAAACGATTCATATTATCAGGATTGTCTGGAAAATTTTGACAAAAGTTTCGAAGAAGAATACAAGGCGACAGGCTTTAATTGCGGTGGTTCTTTCATCTTATAGCGGGATACATGAAACGTCTGAAACTGATCCTGCCAGTTTAGCACGATCGATCTCGGCTGGAGCAAGCGGAAAAGTCGAAGATTCAAGTACGTAGGATCGTTAAATCCCCAACCTCATCGACGACTTAACCGCCCTCGAAGGTGGAAGAGATAGTGGCCATTCACTGGGCCGAATTAACTCCTCGCGCAGACTGTTTCGATGGCGGACGATGGCGGCAAAGGAAGCCTTCAGCCAGGACGACATTTTCCATTAAACTTTTCCCGCGCGTTCGTCACCTCGTCATCGTAACTTTTAGCCAACTGCTGGCTCGTTTTAATCTTTTAAACCGACTGCGTAGCTACCTGATGGGAATCACGGAAATCCGAAACTATTGAAATGACTCTTCTTCCGCGCGGAAAGGCTTTTATTTTTTTTTTAAGAATCTTTTTATAAATTATATGTATACACTGCAAAAATTATATACACTGCAAACGATAAAAATTTAATAGCGCAAATTATGCTGTTCATCATACTTTGCGGTTCGTTTTATTCAGTGCATAGCGAGACTCATAAAATATGATGCATATAATTAAGAAATTAATTTTAAACGACACTTTATTCAAAATAATACGTTATTGAATAAAATTATATCAGCGGGAAAAATAGAGACGAGAATCGTTTCAATGAACGTTCTAATTATCGGAGGAAAACTAGGATTCGTCTTGATTGCAATCTTCGTAAAAAGAATCCATTCCGATAAATAAGAATTGCCGCTAAATTAAATCGTTCATTTAAAGACGCGATAGAAATATAAAAATAATGTAATTAATCGTGAAAATCCTCCGAGCACCTTGGTATTTCTCTTTGGCAAGAAGCCCATTAAGAAAATCGCCTTATACGTTGCTTGCTATGACGAGAGACAAACTAGCGAGAAAATATGAAGCTATTTAAAATTGTCTGGTGTCTGTTAAAATTAAATATAATAACCTTATACTATACGTGAAATACAGTGGAGAGATAGATCAGAATAAAATTTTTGGGAATGGCACAGATAAAACCAAGGATTGGATATGACAAAGCAGCATGCGTAAGCTCTTTGACAAAAGGCTTTGAAAATCACCTTACTGTCTTTGTGTGACAAGGGATAGTAAGTAAGAGAGATAAGAGGAAGAATGGAGTAACGTAGGATCGTTAACGTTGAGGTAGGACAGGTCTACGCTTTCCCCTGGCCACGTCCTTCGGTCCTTCGTCCCCCTTCCTGCGATTCTGCGAGAATCCTACAGAAGAGAAGACCAGGATCCAGAAACCGGAGGAAGATAGAGGAAGACCAACAAGAACAGACCCGTGATTTAGAGCACGACTGCACTGCGCATCTACGAAAGGAGGAGATAGTCGAGCGGGGGAAGGGGGAAAGAGAAGCATCGAAAGAAAGAGAGAGATAGATGAGTGCGGAAGACTACACAGGGGAAGATGAAAAAGGAGAAATACCAAGGAGAATCACGTTGCGTTTTCTTTTCAGATAAGGGAAGGCCCATAAGAAAAAAAGGAAGGAGAGACGAGCCAATTGAAAAGAAAAAAGATCATTGTGAAGGAAAGGACGTACAATGAGAAGAAACGAAAAAGAGAGAAGTGTACAAAATCCTGCCCTTTTAAGGGAAAGTGTGACATTAAAGCCACCATACAAGATATGCTCTTCTTCTGAGGATAGTGAGAGGAAGCATTAGAAACAAATGAGAGACAAACTCTGTGATCGCAAGAGCATACGGCACTTTTATATTTCGTCTATATTTCTGCTCTTTCTTTTTTTACTAGGAAAATGATGAAAATACATGAACATGATAGAAAATCATGTTCATACATTTTTAAGACTTCTATAATAAAAAAAGATTGTTTGGCATCTGCCGATTATACACGAAAATTCCAAACAATACAATCTTAGTACACGCATTCGGAAAATTATTAGAGATGAAAAATTTGTAATTGAAATTTTTAGCATAAATCTAATTTAAATAGCTACATTCTTTACTCAATAATAATAAAAAATTCAGAATAGCCAAAAGGAAAACGAAACAAATTTCTAAAGAGTATATAAAAAATTCAATGTGACAATATTGTTCGCTTAGAATTCTAGTAAAAAACTTAATTGTTTTGTTTCAAATTTTATGTTAAAAAGTAATAATTACCTCATCAAGCCGTTTGGTACATAGTACTATACTAAAATTCTTTTTACTAAACTCTATATTCCAAATTAACTTAAAAATTGTAAAAAATTTGGAAGAAAATTTGAGTTCCTGTAAACGCAATTTTTTTAATCATAAATGATTAACAAAAAAATTACAGAAAATTACATTTCCTCATTCCTTTCGCCAATATTTGAATCAGAAGCCGGATACAGAGTGCCGGCTTGAAATCTGTGTCGGTCGTTAAAAGACTCCAATTACCGAACGGATTCCTGAACTTTTGAAAAGGCGCACGAATGAAGGAGTTTGCCGCCGGCTAAGCTATTCGTTTTCGTAATTGCTAAATTACTGAATCTTACGTTTTTCATGTGATATATATCGAGTCATTCTTTCCATTTTGTTCACTTTTTATTTGATTGTCTTTTAATCGCTCTTATATTTCATAGCGTTTGATAAATTTCTCTAAAGGAAAAATGTTTTTGTAAAATTATAATTAATTAGATCTCATTCAAGTGAAATATTTTTCAAGGAAATTTTATGATTATTAACTCTGATACAAATTGTTTCTTGTATAATTTCTATCATGTATGTATATACATATATGTATATACATA